AATTAGGCAAAAACTTTTCTAGACAGTTCACAAATCCAATAAACTGCCTTCACATCTGTTGGACACTGCATCTCTGCTCCAGTTCTCAACTTGTTAGAATCTGGAAATTCCTTTCCATGTCAGTACATGACCTATGTACTTGACTTCAGATATTATCAATTGCATCTTTTTCCTCTTGTTCTGTTTCTCTCTCTGATCACAGTATTTTGTCTAGCTGTTCTGTGATGATCATCAGCTGCCAGCTCTGCAAAGAACAATTTCTGCCTTCTTATCTTTCTCTTCATGTTTTAGGACCTCCTTGGTCAGTGCAGGTGCAAGTTCTTCAACCTTGTCTTTCAGGCTAAGCTTAAGAGTTGCTGGATATCTCCTCAGCAGATGCTAAATTGGTGTCACACTCTCAACTGCTTGAGATGATGTTCGCCAAGAAGATAATCGAGACTTGAAAGAATATCTTTGCTGAACAGATGCTAGAATATTACAGTCAATCATTTAATGGCCTATAAAAAACTGCAAATCTTTTCTGGCATGTGCAAGACTTCCACTCTAAGCTTCAGATTTGCTTCAGCTGAGATTTGTGGATTTGTTTAAGAGCCACTATCTTGATCTGCAGAATTTCATTCTTCTCATCGACTGTGCTCACAGCTTCATTTATCCTCTTGAAATGAGCATTGTTCCATCATATTGCCTGAACTTCACTTTCCAGGGCATCATTTTTGATTCTCCACCTCAGCCACTTCACACAGGTCTACAACATTCCATGGAGCACCAGTGCGAATCTGGCACTTTAACTTCACTTGATGTAATCATCATTCTAAGAGTCAAAAACCATTTAAGACCTCTAACTCTGACAATGCCAATGTGCTATAGCATACAGAGTAATTCTTCAGAATCATTAACTCACATCTCTCCAGCAGCCATTTTTAAGATGTTCATTTTTCTTCTTTCTAGTTAAACACTTGCACAGAAAATGTTTCAGCTTCTTGCAGTTATTGCACACTTTTTCCTGCATTGGACCTGCTTCCTTTGCTGTTGTGTCATGTCCTCTGCAGCATTTACGTCCTGCCCTCTGGCATTGATCTTTCAGCTGGCTCTTCTGCAAATATTTCTTCTTTTTTTGCAATATGTTGCTCTTGTTTGACCTGCAATGTCCCTCAATGTCCACTATCCCATTAATCCCTGTTCATCTTCCCTTTCAATTCTAAAGATTTCATAGCTTGACATATTTAACTCTGAATATGACCAGCTTTCAACTATGCCCTAAAATGACCATAGTGTCATACCTCTAAAGAGTATTTAGTTGGCTAATTCCTTCAATATTTTTCTTGTACTTCATGGGTTAATATATAAAACTCCTGTTTTATCTTCAGTCACCTTGGGAAAACATCATTGCTTCATTTGACTATTTGGTAGGCAGGAAGCAGCAAATGGAGGTGGAGTAATTGCTCATCCTAAGGTAACATATAGTAGATCAGATGTATTTTTGACACTTGAGCTTTGACCAACTTGCATTTCCAATTCCTGCATGTTCCTGCAATGTTCTCATATAAACTATTACAGCCCTTGCAGCAAGACTATAGTAGGAAAGGAAGCTGAAGTACTTGCAATGTGAAATCTGTTCCTTCCAAAAACAAGAAGAATGATGCAGTATTGAAAATGCAGAATCAACTAATTTTTAAAAGAAAAATACGCATGAAACAATAAATTACTTGGAACTCTTGCTATATAAGCTCTATAAGTTCTGAGGAAGGGTCACCGGACCTGAAATGTTAACTGTTTTTTCCTTCACGGATGCTGCCAGACCTGCTGAGTTTTTTGGCAACTTTGTTTTTGTTCCTGATTTACAGCATCCGCAGTTCTTTCCATTTTTATGCACAGCTAATTTATCTAACTGGACGCTGATATTCCCACACCCTACACGATTACTTCCTTCACAGTCAGCGTTCACATGTCAGACACAACTCACAGCTTTTTGCCGGTTGTCTGTTAGTAGACAAGAAAGACAAGTTGTTGCAGCTGTTGTAATTAACAGCCCAAATAGTAAATTATCATAACAATTTATACAACAGCAGGATATGTGCTAGTTGGTTGGCAAATTGACTCTAATTTGATGAACTTTTCAATTATTTGAGGCATCACACCACATGCTCTTGCCATGTACTAAATCACAAACATTTCTCAGGAAAACATTGCAGATTACAGGTGTTTGCAGGACCTGACTATAGGAAAGAAAGTATCACTGTATGAGATTAATCCCTGTAAAGAAACAGTAGCCAAAGTAATCGGAATGGCAGCAACAGACAGCATGGTCACAGATGAATCAGGGAAAAGCTCACCTGGAAGTATATGACCACTCAAACTTCCTTACAGATCCAAATAATTCCTGATCCTGAGTACTGTGCATTTTCTGAGCATTTTACCAGGGCTTTTCACCTTGCATTCATCAGGATAATTCCCAAGATTAACCATTCAAAGGGAAAACCGAGACAACAAGGTGCAGGGCTGGATGAACACAGCAGGCCAAGCAGCATCATAGGAGCGGAATCATTTTTCCTGCATGAGAGAAGAATGCTGATTGGTCAGCAAATGGATGGTGATTGGTCAACCTGTTGCCGTGGAGAATGCAACCATGAATGCTAATTGAGAGTTAATTGTCAGGCTTTGTTTAAATTTTAAAACCAGTCAGATTGACTCTGGTCAATGCATTGCCTTAAGAAATGAATGAGCAAATAGCTGTCACCTGTTTTGTTCAATTCAAATATGTGACATGTATGTACATGTTCTTTTTATCTGCAAAGAACAGGGCACTGCTATTAGTTTGAGATAACAAGGTGTAGAGCTGGATGAACACAGCAGGCCAAGCAGCATCAGAGGAGCAGGAAGGCTGATGTTTCGGGCTTAGACACTTCTTCAGTAAATTAGTTTGTACAGTTTCCTGTATCCCAATCCCTGAAACTTATCCTCATTCAGAAGCACAATATGATCCTAGCACACACATTCTCCAAGAATGGCCATATGCACTGCATTCAAATCCTTCTATTTTTATCATTGCCTGTTCCCACCTCAATTCCCTAAGCACTGCTTATCCTACTGCAAGCTCTCGGGAGCAACACCCAAAAAAGCTCCCCCACTGACCCCAGCACTCACCCCCACCTCTGCTGAACTCAAAGAGGAGATAGAGCCACTTCCCTCTTCCAGAAGAAATGGGGAGATGGAAAGCAAAGAAGGCAGTACTGCATCAATTGCAATCACTATCCAACTGCTCTTTGACCCAAAGCAAGATGACTCAGTTTCTTACACCAACCCCTGACCCAAGGACAACAGCCCCACCCCCTCATTCTGACCCAGCATGACTCAATTCCACCAATTAATGCCACCTTTAATCCGACCAGCTCTCTCACCACCCCCAGCACCTCCATGTCCTACACGACCACTCAGTTACTCTAAGTTTTTATTCCTTTAGTCACTGACTCAAAGACTTGATACATTTAAAACCTTAAACGAATGGGGCCACTAATGCCAAGAATGGAGGGGGACAGGTTGTTGTTTCTTTGCCTGTTTTCTCCTACACTCCTCACAGCAATGCTGCATTGACCTATTGCTGCTGCAGCCAGAACCATGGACAGCAGCAATGCACACAGTATCAACACTGACCGGAAGATGTGGGCCCCTGTAAACAGTATCTGTAATTGAAGGTATATGGGTTCAAAGTCATATCGGATTTAAAAAAAAAACTTTTCTTTTGTGGGATCTGAATATTGTTTCCCATCCCTAACTGCCCTTGAATTGAGTGACATGCTTAACCATTCCATAAGGCAGTAAAAAGTTAACCTTTTGCCATAGGTCTGGAGTCACACCACCTACAATCCGATCACACCAACAAAGAGATAGTTCTGTCTCCATCGCTATCTGCCTTTCGTAGGGACCACTCTCCCTGTGACTCCCTCGTCTGCTCCACACTCCCCACTAACCCCACCACACCAGGCACCCTTTCCCTGCCAGTGCAGGAAGTGCTACACTGCCCCTACACCTACCCCTCTCACCTCTATTCAAGGCCAAAAGCAAACCTTTCATATCCGGCAGGGGTTCACCTGTACATCCTCCAACTTGGTCTACTGCATTCATTGCTCCCGATGCGGCTTCCTCTACATCAGTGAGACCAAGCGTAGACTCGGGGACCATTTCAAGGAGCATCTGCACTCTGTATGCGACAAACGACAACACGTTCTGGTTGCCAAACATTTTAACTCCCCCTCCCACTCCCTGGGTGACAATACCGCAATGCCACCACCTGCAAACTGGAGGAGAAACACCTCATATTCCGCCTCGGGAGCCTACAGCCCGATGGCCTAAACATGGAATTCATCAGTTTTAAAATCTCCCCACCCCCAGCCTCATCCCATGTCCAACCTTCCCTCTCATCCCTGCATCCTTAACCTGACACAGCCTGTCCATCTTCTCTCCCATCTATCTGCCCCCAACCATCCCACTGACCAATCCCCACCACTCCCTACCTGCATCCAACCTATCACCACCCCACCTACCTTCCCCACCCCCACCCCTCCTCTCTATTTATTTCCCAGCTCCCTTCCCTATTACTGAATAAGACTCCCGACCTGAAACGTCAACTTTCCTGCTCCTTTGATGTTGCCTGGCCTGCTGCGTTCCTCCAGCTCCACACTGTGTCATCTCTGACTCCAGCATCTGCCGTTCTTGCTATCTCTGAGCGGACAGCGACTTTTCTATTTCCACTATTTCTATTCCTAATTAATCTCACATCCGCCCTCTCCTCACTTTACTGTGATATCTGCATATTATTAACAGCCAATAGTCTCCCCATTACTTGAATTGTAATTTTCGAACCGTCTTATTTAATTACATACGCAGCCACATTTATTTAAATCCTAACAGAGGGCTATAGCTCTTTCTACTCTGAAACATGTCATTAAAAGCAGCAAAATAAACAGGACCTCGCCGTCAGCCCTGACTGGTGCTATTCCTACCGTTCAGGTCCAGTCTTTTCAAAGCAATCCAGATGCGGGTTGGACTTGTTTTGTCAGTTCTAACGGCCATCAGCCTCCCTGCAGCAGCGTTTACCAGTACATAACAGCGAGTGTATCTCAACCGTACTGCTGGATCCAATGAGAAACTGCATTCCGGGTCGCCAAGGCACCAAGGAAACAGTTTACAACTACTGTAGACTTCATCCGACGCTGAACGAAGGTAGTCTCAAGAGAAAAGAATAATGTGATGAAAGATTGGAGCAATCCAACCGAAAAGGTTGTCCATGCAAACATTGCACTAAGGACAATAAAATACAATAAAAAATGTCGATGATCAAATAGTTCCCAAGAAACAGCTTGATTATTTTGTTCTTGGGGAAGGGGAGGGTTATATGTAATCATTCATATATTTCCATTTCAGAGAGAAAGAAGAGAGAAGAGACAGCATCCCAGCCAACTGAGGACTGGCATTGCACAGAATAACAGCTGAGTTCACTGTTGCAGGACTTTTCTCGATACTGCAATCGGGTCAAGTGACCTGGAATGTTAGGAATACAGGAAACTGTAAATTGACGGAGGCCAGGAAAACAACTCACATTCATACCCACCATTAAGGATATATATATTTGTTCAAGTAATCATTTTCCCTTTCCTAGAAGAATTCTAAGCATCCCTGTTATTCTTGATAACGATCTTTGCAATTGGAATATTAAATCTGACTAAGTTTTTTATAATAAAAAATTATATTTCCATACCAGCCATCTTCCCCTTCATCTGGAGGTCTAAAATGAACCGTGTCTGTGGGGATTCCACATACAAAACTCTGAATAATGGCAGGGAAGAATGTACCCAACATCACCCTCACCCTGATGGCCACCTTTGCTTGCAGTTGCATCAAGCTGTGCATTGACACTCGGTATGCAAACACCAAGTGTCACTATGCACTGAGGTCCTACCTGTCCCCGATGTTGTGAAGGACAGGACTGGCCTCACTGCCTCAGAACACTCCAAGTTGTTGGACCATTCCATATCACCTGTCCTTCATCAAGAAATTGGCAAAGAAAACCCCTTTAACCACAAGTCCATCAGGAAGTAGTCAACATGAAGTCCTTAAGATCCTGTGGGAAAAGGGGAGTGTGGATCCTGTCGCTTGGTTCCCTGAGCAGACTGTCAAAGTCATTTAGCAGAATGCCTCATCACCAGAACTTTCCAACAAGCACCAAGACATCGCTTGGCTGGTGGTGAAAAGGGCACTACCTGTGACATCCTTTATGTACGCCAGGTCAGTCTGCATCACTGTATACTGCCCTCAAAGCGGCTGCGGGGGCTTAAGGCTGTCACACATCTCCTGCTGGAATGTGCCTTTGCAAAGAAAGTCGAGAGAAAGATGGAGTGGTTTTCGTTGAGGTTCATCCCGAGCAGCTCCGTGATGTGGGACTCTGTGCTCTACGGCCTGTTCCCCAGGATGTACACCAAGACAAACATTGACTGTGCCTGGAGGATCATCAACTCAGTGAAAGATGCTCTTTGGTCTGCCTGAAACTTGTTGGTTTTCCAGAGCAAAGAGTTGATCTTGACCGATTGTTGCAGCCTGGCACATTCCAAGGTCCAGGACTATGTGCTGAGGGACACACTAAAGCTTGGGGCAGCTGCCGCCAAGGTGCAATGGAGAAAGACCACCATCTAAGTTCTTACCGTTGAAGTTAAATAGGTGTCCGTTCAGTTATTGGACCGTCCTGATGCCTCAAACATATGTAAATATAATCTGGTATAAGTAAGAAATGCCTTTCGTTTGTTTTTGGATAGAGTCAAACTCCAATGTTTGGAGATAGTAAGAACTAGACGTGAGTCTAACCCACCCTCTACAGACCCCTTCTCCTGCCTCCAACACACCCCATCCTCCTGGACACCACTCCAAGGCCTCCTACCCTCCCTTACCTCTTCATCTCCAACTGCCATCATGACATCAATCACCTCAACCTCTCCCACACGGAACGTGCAGCCCTCTGCTCCCTCCACTCCAACCCTAACCTCACCATAAAACCCGTGGATTAGGGAGGCGCAGTTGCAGTATGCTGCACTGGCCATGACATAACTGAGGCCAGGTGCCGACTCACTGACACCTCCTCCTACCGCCCCCTAGATCATGACCCCACGCCTGACCACCAAAATATCATTTTCCAGACCATCCATAACCTTATCACTTCAGGTGACCTCCTGCCCACAGCCTCCAACCTCATCGTTCCTCATCGTTCCCCAACCCCACACCACCTGTTTCTATCTCCATCTCATAATTCATAAACCCGACTGCCCCTGCTGACCCATTGTCTCTGCCTGCTCTTGCCCCTTCAAACTTATCTCCGCTTATCTTGACTCTGTTTCCTCCCCCCTGGTCCAGGAACTCCCCACCTACGTCTGGGACACTACCCATGCCCTCCACCTCCTCCAAGACTTCCAATTCCCTGGCCCCCAACACCTCCTCTTCATGATGGACATCCAATCCCTGTACACTTGCATTCCCCATGCAGATGGCCTAAAAACCCTCTGCTTCTTCCTCTCCTGTAGGCCTAACCAGTCCCCCTCCACCGACACCCTCATTTGCTTAACCAAACTCGTCCTTACCCTTAACAACTTCTCCTTTAACTCCTCCAACTTCCTACAGACTAAGGGGATGGCCATGGGAACCTGCATGGGCCCAAGCTATGCCTGCCTCTTCTTAGGATACATGGAATAGTCCTCTTCCGCTGCTACACTGGCATTTTCCTCCACCTCTTCCTCCACTACGTCGATCACTGTATCGGTGCTGCCTCATGCTCCCACGAGGAGCTTGAACAGTTCATCAATTTTACTAACACCTTTCACCCCAACCTCAAGTTCATCTGGACCATCTCTGATACCTCTCTCTCCTTCCTGGACCTCTCTGTCTCCATCTCTGGTGACCGCCTTGAAACTGACATCTATTTCAAGCCCACCGACTCCCACAGCTACCAGACTACACCTCCTCTCACCCATCTTCCTGCAAGAATGTGAACCCCTACTCCCAATTCCTCTGCCTCCGCTGCATCTGCTCCCAAGATGGGGCATTCCACTCCTGAACATCCCAGATGTCCTCTTATTTCAAGGACTGCAACATCCCCCCTTCGGTGGTCGAAAATGCTCTCGACCGCATCTCTTGCGTTTCTCACACCTCTGCCCTCACATTCCTCCCCCACAACAAAAACAAAGACAGAATCTCCCTTGTCTTCACATATCACCCCACTAACCTCCGTATCCAAATTATCATTCTCCGCCACCTACAACCCAACCCCACAACCAAAGATATATTTCCCTCCCCACCCCTATCTGCCTTTCGTAAGGACCACTCTTTCTGCGACTCACTCATCCGCTCCACACTCCTCACTAGACCCACCACCCCCGGCACCTTTTCACACAACCCCAGGAAGTGCTACACCTGCCCCTACAACTCCCCCCACTCCTCCATTCAAGGCACTAAACAAACCTTTCACATCAGACAGAGGTTCACCTGCACATCCGTCAATGTGGTCTATTGCATCCGCTGCTCTCGATGTGACCTCCTGTACATCGGTGAGACCAAGTGAAGGCTCGGAGACCGCTTTGTACAGCACCTGTGCTCTGTACGCGACAAACGACCACACTTTTCAGTCGCAAACCACTTCAACTCCCCCTCCCACTCCCTGGGTGACATGTCCGTCCTGGGCCTACTCCAGTGTCACAATGATGCCACCTGGAAGCTGGAGGAGCTGCACCTCATATTCCACCTTGGGACCAGTGATGGTAGGTTTGTGGTGGACAGTAGTGGTTAATTTCCTGGTCCATTTCTCAACTACAATATTGAGGATAGGGAGATTATTTGACTATTCCAGTTTAAACATGAATTTGAGTGCATGAAGGAGCCCACTAAGACATGGAAGGAAATTTGTACAGCTACATGTATATATAGCAAAGGTATCATCTACATATCAAAATATGCATGGGATAGGAAGTTATGTGTCATTCCATTGAAAACATGTTTCTCATAGAATCCAACAAAGATGCAAAATTCTAGTGGGGATCTTATGGCAACATTACCTGTTTAGGCATAGAAGGTGGTTTTAAAACTGAACTCAACAGTGCATGTTGCTGAATTCATTAAATTAGTGAATATTGATTCACACAATTGTGGTGGCTGTAGATCACCATGGAATGTTGCTGCAGTCCAGATGTCTACCTTGAGGTGCACATTGCTGAAAAGGCTAGCAACTTCAAATTCAGCACGAGGACCTTGCATCTATCAATATGCAAGTCCTTTATGGTCTTTGCAAATGTGAAGGAATCTTCACTGTACAAGTGCAAACCTGCTTAAAACCAATTGTAGCAATTCACCCAACTATATGGCCAGTTTGTTTTGTGTAGAACTTGTTATAGATAAGGTAGGACATAAAGAAACGTGATTTTTGTGTATCATGGGCAGCCCAAATATACTGGACAATGAACTGTGGGGATGAACTCTGTTGAATATATTACTTGTCAGCACAGTGCTGTACATGTATTAAAGGCCATACCTAAGTATATTCAAAGCAAAAGAAGAAAATTGCTAAATTCAGATGGGTGTTAGGAACATCAGCAGTTACCAATTGTTTAAAGGGACAAATATGATCTATTAACAATAGTAAACATTAAAAGAAACAAAACAGGGGATCAGTACTGCACTAAACTTAAAGAAGGAGACAGACTGTTTGAGAAATTACTTCATAAAGGAGACAAAACTGAGAAGTGTAACTTCAGCTAATTGGAGAACTTGAACCAAATGGTAGCGTGGGATAAGCAAAATTAAAAATAGCCAAATGAAGTATAATTAAAACAAAATGTTACAATTAATGTAATGCTTAAAGAAAAGTAGGAAATGCTGCAAAGCCTCATCAGCTCTGGCAGTACCTGTGGAGACAGAAACAGAGTCCCTGGAGGAACAGGTTCATAGTTCTCTGACTTTGCAGAGGCATCACTCCTCTGACTGACAAATGTCCACACATTCCTCCCTCTCTCCAGCTGCCTCCTCAAAACTCTGAACAGACAAT